TTATTTAAGAATTGTGTGTTCCTTTTGAGTTTCGTTTCAGTATTTTGAGTAATAAATTTGTGACTTATAAAAATCTTCAATTTCGCCTATTTGACTTTCTTTCTCTCAACTGTACTTGTAGCATCCAATGAAACACATTTTTACAAATGCAAAGTATACTAATACACAATTTGGTCCTAATTCATTCCGTTGGATTAGTATTAAAACCAAAGCTCAGTGTTCAGACAACATTGATACCAAATGACTTTTGACTACTCCGTATTTGGTCGATCACATCACTTTCCAAGTGTCTTTTGTCTGCGGTTTTGCCGGACTCTTGGAAGCAAGCTGTAGTTATACCCATTCCACAGAAAGTATCGCAGTGGCGTTAACGATTTTACTGCTGTTATTAAATTTTGTAAGTCTCTTTAGTAGTCAGTTAAGCTTTAAATTCTGCTACTAAAATAATGATTACGGAGGTATCTGCAGCTCATAGCCTCTTATTGAATACTGGCAAACCGCAGATATTATTATTTGGAAATAAAACGATCGAATGATCTCTCCTTCTTCGGATAATCAAAGAAAACAGTAAGCAAAACCTCGACTTGACGTTCTTTTTTCGGCTGGGTTCTTGCCTCGCTTTGGTGTCGACGTCAAAACCTTTGAGCATATAAGGATCATCGTTGACTTCGTTTAACAGCTTTTGAGCGATGAGCCCTCGAAAGTTTCGGAAAAAATTGCATGGCACCATTTGTTTCGCTTCTTCGACGGTTTTCGTCAGTTACTGACGTGCTGGGGCGTCCGCAGCGAAATTCGTCACCGTCATCTTGTGGTATTACAACTTACATTGCAAGATTTCGGTTTTTTAATAAAGACAGTTTATTATAATCACATCAGTTATTGTCCGTAGTTAATTAAGAAGGTGGTTAGCAGCGTTCCGGTATAATCACCCCGTTTAAATTTGAAATGAAGTGATCTCGACTGTCTTCCATCGAGAGAAACTCTCCTCGAGCGACGTTCCTCGGTTATGATATTAATTAAATTCGTACAGAGCATAACAAGGTTTTAGTTATATAACGAGGGTAAACACCGCCTGGTTCTTAGCTTAATCTTCCCGATGTCAGAGATCGTACCCCCAAGAAGTGTCCCATTCTCCGTTTTATCTCCCCAAAGCCCTCCAAACACTCCACCTTCAGACTGTCTATATGCTTATGCGAAGTTTGTTGCACGGGCAACTGTTATTGCAAGTAACGCCGCGGGGATGAAAAGAAATGGTGTCGAGTCCTAATTAATTTCAATTACTCAGCACGCGCTGGGGGCCCGCAATCTGTATTCCAAGAGGCTCGCGAGTTTCGAGTTAAACCCTCAAAGTTGTAATTAAAATTAAATTTTAAAGAGTGGGGTGTCTAATCCAATCTAGTATAATTGTGTATACAGGGTGTTTCGAAACAAATGCAATGAGATATCGAGCTACCAATATTACAGACGAAACATTAAAATTGTACGGATGTATTCATATTTTTTGTAATTTTTTTTTTAGGATGAGAAAGTTGGCTTGAATGGGACTACCCCTATTCATTCCTCTTAATTAGATTTAATATGAAAAATAATTAAACGTAGTGCGTTCCGTATCGTTTATTTATTATTTATTAACAGTCAGTTTTTCTAGATGTAACGGTGTTTCGACATACACTTGAGGATTAGCTTCGCTCCAAATGCGGCACTTTTGTTTGTTGACGTAGCCATTCAACCAGAAGTGCGCTTCATCGATAAACAAAATTCGCTTATGAAAATCGGGAACAACGTTTTGGGCCCATTCGACGAATCTACGCCTTACTTGATGATCGTTTGGCTTCAATTCTTGCACGAGTTGGATTTTGTAAGCACGTAAACCAAGATCCTTCCGCAAAATCTTGCATAAAGTGGATGGACACAGATCCAATTCCTGTGCTCGATGGCGAATGGACTCATTCGGGTCCTCCTCGATGCTACGCGTCACAGCAGCAATAGCTTCTTCTGTACTGTTCTGGGGATACGAGTTATCAATAAGAGTAAACTTGGTGCGAGAACCTTCTATGGTTAATCGAATTAACTGCTCTGATGGACGATTTTGTCGAGGATAAAATGGACGATTGGTTAACAGGGCTATTCTTTCCTAAAATGATAATTAAGAAGTATATATTTCTTTAACATTTAGTACCTAATCTACAGTGTATTTGCTGGTTTAGGAGACTAGCTCTGAGCTAGATTGGGGCAGCAGTTTTAAATAAAAAATTAAAAGACATACGAAAAGTTTGTTTTTATAATGTATCCATTCTAAAATTGTACAGTTTTTGATTATATTATTCATTCTTAACCGTTGCTCATAAATCCAGATAAATCCAGGTTCGTTTGTTGCTTGAGATATTTTGATCACAGAAAAAATATTTGCGTTGAAATGGCTAAAAACACTTTCAAGTTCTACTCGCAATATTTGAGATTTTGAAACATTCTTTTCCAACGAACTGTAGTGACGACAGACGTTCTGGATACTCCCCAGCATAGTTCTTGTAGATTTAAACGCCATTAAGTTTTATAATAATTATTCTAGATATTGTGAATAACTTTCAGTTTTAGTATTTAGGAAAAAATTGAAGGTTCATTTATTGAAATTGCAGAAGTCTCTGTATTAAACAAATTAATATTTTGCCAATAACGAATTTTTAGATCCTTATTATTATTATTATTATTATTATAGCTTGTTAAAATAAAATTATGGTTTTGACACCCCTTAAGTTTTTTGCATTTGATATGTAACACCCTGTATATACGACCGTGCAGTAAATCGATTTGCTTGATTCGACAGTCGGGACCGGTTTTCGGATTAGATTAGCGGGAAAAAAAAATCTCCTCCGTTGGATCGATAGTTTGTTGGGAGATGAGGAAAATACCGTAAAAGGAACTTTGAGCGGAGTTCCGTTTTAACGATGACGAGAGATGCGTTCGAGCGAGGCACAGAAAATGAATTGGTCGCCGGCTAATGAGCTAAAGAGGTCGTTATCTAAAATTTGATATTTTTTAGTCCTAACGAAGCGACGGCTTTATATTACTGAGCTAGTTAGTTAGGTTTGCGATTGTGGTCACGTTCGGTTTTGTCGGTGTGTGCGGAGACAATTGCGCCGCGTGAGAAAGAAATATATCTCAATTTAAAATACAATAGGGGCGGATAGCCGAGAAAAAATCTGTAGATTTGGTCCGGCATTGTCTAAAATCAGTGGTACCCGACGTTGCCACTACGAAGTGATATCCGTGATTATCTTTATATTTACATCTGCGAAAGGCGAATGAGAGGGAAGAGATAACGGATCAGCATCGAGTACTTTTGTTGTGATTTTTTCATCCTTGATCTAGAACTTTTTGCTGCTTTTTTGAGTACACACTTACATTTTACAATCTCTGGAATAGCAGTTTCCAGGACACGCCAGGAATTTGCCTAGTCTAGCAACATTACATCGACTTCTGTTGATGTCGATGTTGTTTCCGTAATTATCTTTATATTTGGATCTGCGTAGTAAGGCGAAAGTGAGGGGAGAGATAAAGGATCAGCATCAAGTACTTTGGCGGTGATTATTTCATCCTTGATCTAGCACTTTTTTCTGCTTCTTTTTTGTAGTACTTTCACCCAGAAACTTACATTTTACAATCTCGAGAATTGTGGAATATCTTCGTTATCTTCATGGATAGAAAGTTGCGGTTTTCGCTACAGTGTACTACCTTTTCATGACACTATGCCATAATAGAATATTCATAGTAGTTTTAGTTTTTAAGATACAGAGCTAAATTAAAATTATTGCATTTTAACTATCAGATAACTCATCGAAAACGTGAAAACTGTATCTTATATAACTTTCAGTGATAACTTTAGTTGTTAGACTCTACTTTATTTTGTTAAATAACACGTCCTGTATATTTAGGCCATAAAATTTGTTTTTTTTTTGCGTTTTCAAGGATATTTAACAGGAGACGCCTTTTCCAAAATTTAGTTTAATGCCATGCATAGAAACCAAAAACAATTATGTAATTTATAATAGCACGAAGTTTGCAACAACTCTTTTGTATCATAAAGTAAGAATACAAGAAAACACAAAAAACAAGAAGAAGTATACCATAGATTTGGTTGGACAAATATATGTAAATAGTAAATTGCAAAGCAAAAAATGTAAAACAGAAGTCTCGAGCTGACGCGGTTATAAAAAAAAATTATAATAATAAAAAATGTTTTTCAAATTTCACAAAAAGAAAATTGTGTTTTTTATATGTGAGCATATGTTAAAATATGGAAAAACAGTACTTAAAAAGTAGTTGCTAGTGGTGACCTCTGGAACGGTTTAATTAAAGCGTATTTATAAAACCCTCTTCAGGAAAACGCGACAGCCAGCACAAAAACGTGTATACAGAGGACGCTACGCCGGAGCTATGCCGGCCTATAAATTTACCGTGAAATATGGCGCCGGATTTATTGCGAAAAGCTGCGAAAAATATTCGATGTGCAAGCGTTGATACAAATTGTTGTGTGCGAAAATGAACGACCGTTCGACATTTTGATGGATGGTCATCGCGGACCCTTTTTTTTAAATAAAATCCGTCTACCCCGTTGTCAAAAATCCAACTTGTTTTGTTACAGGCTAGATTTACCCCAAATCAAAAAATTGCTTCTAGTTATATACCTAAGTTTAATCCAGCAATGTGAATTAACTTTATTGCAACTGGCATATACGAGGTCTGTCAATTAGATTCCCGGAAAAGTGGCAACACTGCGACTCTCGTTATCCTACGGCGTTCGCGTTTGTCATTCGAAAGAGGATTCATTTCTGCGTCAGTCTGTGCAAGTTTCGTCTCGATCGGTTGTTCAGTTCGTGTGTTACAGTACTTTGATCATCGGCGCGTTGGGACCCCTTGTCGCGAAAATGTGTGCTAAAAAAACTGAACAAAGAGTAGTGATCAAATTTTTGGTCAAACGTGGTGTAAGTTCCGCGGAAATTATGAAACAGTTAACCGACGTGTACAAGGATGATTGCCTGAAAAAAACAACTGTCTACGAGTGGGCAAAGCGGTTCAGGGAAGGCAGGGAGTCGGTGGAGGACGATTCACGTGAGGGAGCTCCCTCCACCTCTCGAACGGCACAAAACGTCGATCGCCTGCGCGTGCGTGTGCTCGGAGACCGTCGGGTAAGCCTCAGAATGTTGGGAGACGAGTTGGGTATCAACAAGGAAACCATTCGGCAGATGCTACACGAGGATTTAGGGATGCGCAAGGTGTGCGCGAAAATGGTTCCCAAAGTGCTCACAGTTGAGCAGAAAGAGCTTCGTTTAACCATCTGTGAAGACATGATTTCTCGAATTGAGGAGGAATGAGAAGACTGGATGTCAAATGTTATTACCGGAGACGAGTCTTGGGTGTTCCAGTATGACCCTGAGACCAAACGACAGAGCATGTAGTGGGTGGAAAAGGGGGGGAAGCACCCCACAAAAGCCAGAATGTCGAAATCAAAAGTGAAATCTTTGCTCATCGCATTCTTCGATATTAATGGAGTTGTACACCACGAATACGTTCCAGCAGGTCAGACAGTCAATGGGAAGTTCTACATTGAAGTTTTGAAACGTCTGAAGGCCCGTGTGTTTCGTGCACGGCCGGAATTGGCCGAACGTGGATGGGTGCTGCATCACGACAACGCTCCAGCCCACTCCTCATTCGCAGTTCGCGATTTTTTGACCAAAAACGGCATTCCAACGCTTCCGCACCCCCCCTACAGCCCGGACCTGGCTCCCTGCGACTTTCATCTCTTTCCACAATTGAAGTCCTACCTCAAGGGCAACCGATACGACGGCGTCGAGGAGGTGCAACGTGTCACGACACGGGTGCTGAGGGACCTATCTTCAGGGGGCTTCAGGGGGTGCTTCCAATGGTGGATCCAACAGTGGCGCCGGTGCATCGAGCTAGAGGGATACTACTGCGAAGGATTATCACTTAATTTTAAGAATTTATGTATATTCCGGACCGTCCGGGCACTTTTCCGGGAATATAATTGACAGACCCCGTATACCAATATGAAAGGGGGATAGTAATTGGTTTCACCTCCTATATTCCAGCTCACGTCTAGACTCTGCTTCTCGTCCTTCTAAACACAAATGGTGCATGCGCCACTAAAACAATAAAAAAAAGGATAGAAAGCATGTTTGTGAGTTTTAGGAATATTTATTGGTTAGTCAACTATTTTACAATTTTTGCAGCAACTTAGCTTAAATTCACTTATTCACCGACGACATCGGGGTTAACTACGCTCGGAAGCAAATTTAAATTATTACGTGCGTTACCTTGTCCACTAGTCGTACTTTCAAAATAGGGTAGCGATCGGAATCCCAGCTACAATGTAAACAAAAACAATTAAAGTAGAACTTTCAAGTCAAAGCACTCTATCGTAAAGTAAAGGAAAACAATTTACCTATGTCGTCACGCTGCGTTGGTATTGGCGCACTTTATTTGGCATTTTTCCACAATAAAAATCATCTTTCGTACACTAAACCATGCCAAATATCAATCAATAAGGTTCAATTCGCCCGTGACTAGAGTCGCAACCGTCTGTCATCTGTCACGAAATCTTTTTGTGTTTTTGTTGTTGGTATTTTCAATATTAAAAGAACAAGCTCCTATCGGGCTTGGATATAACCCATCGGAAGTTTTGCACCCATGTTTTAAGGTCGATTCAGTTGATATTAATTTTTGTGGATTTGAGTATTTTGGGTAAAGCGAATGTAAACAAGTCCGATAACTAGCGAGGAAGGCCGCTAACAACCTGGTAAGCTCGCTATACCAGTTATTATCTTGAAATTTCACTTTTTCTATCCGTGGTCACTTCTGGCGCGGTGGTTCTGCTTCCTCTCAAAATAACAAGCCCTAGTTTGTTCGGACAACCAGCGACAGGCATTTTCTTTTGTCAATACCTCCGAGAAGGTCGCCCAATGTGAAAGGTGGAATTCGTGAATCACCCAATACAATTATAGTCGGACCACCCTTAATTTAAAGCTTCCCGTTATCTTTTAGCTTTTTTTTTATTTATTTCTTTGTTAGCCCGTTGAAGTTCTAACACTGTGTTTCGTTTTTACTATATATATCGTAACGATTATCATATTCGGGTAATTAAGTAATTAAGAATAGTTTTGTGATTTAAAAATAATAAAATTATGAACTTCGATCATTGAGTCGTGAAAAAATACAAATAAATAAGAATATCAACGACTTTATATAATTTTATATTAGAAATTTTCTTAACAGTGTACTTTGTACTTATTTAAATTTTCCTATTTTGCTACTGGCTCGTATATTTAAAATTTAAACGTGATTGTTTTTTGGTTATAGCTTTATGCTAAATAAACAAAGTGTTATATCTCAAGTTTCTACATGATCGAAAACGTTACGTTTTAAGAATTCGGCTCCGTCTCGGCAGTAATGCATTAATCACGTTTCACTCGAAACGATATACGATCCACGCATGGACCGCGTACATTGATACTCGAATTATGAACAGCTGCGACCGAAACAGATACGGCTGGGATGAGCCGGGTCAAGAATGAGACGACACAAGTCTGCTAGCGGTTTGTAATTTATATCCGAAAAACAAAAACTTATTTGCGTGTTGACTTACTCGGCGGTAATAATTACGTACGTACGTTGCTTAAAAGCGGACCGACTACATATGTACTCCTATTTACGTTATTCCAGGAATGTTTCAATCCAAGAAACAGCTACAATTTTACAAAATATTTTAAAATTCTGCGTGACTCAACAGAGACAGGGATACCTCCCTCACCACTCACTTAAGCACTGATGAAAATATTACTTTTTATTTTAAGATATTGTTTTGACATATTTAATAGTTGTTCCAAGGTCAAGTGGTTAAAAAACCACCATGTATAAGTTCATAATTTTGGTTAGTTTTGGTTAGCGGTCCTGAATTCTGCTAAGTCTCCAATTTAACTTAGTAAAAAGACGTCCGTAACTTAAAACAGCCTGTAGCGTCTCTCTATTTTTATAAATTCTTCGGGAATTTATCCCCCGTACGCCGCACTAAATTATTGCCAGCAAACCGAATCTGCAGTCAATTTTCAAACGCTTTGTATACTAATCTATTTACGGATGTTCAAGGGGATATTCGATATAGATTTTCGAAAATTGCTTACGTGTATTCAGCTCGCATTGAGAATCTCAACCGCCGAAGTGATTTTGGGGGGATTACAAAGCACTTGGATTGAACTTCCAGATAATATTTTTCTCTGCCTGACGTATTAAACGCTTCTAGTCTCTGATATCTTTTTGTCGGGCGACGAAACCATCGGAAATATCCAAATTACTTGCAACTAAGGGGAGGTTTAGGTGATTTAGATCATTATTGGAGACCATTTCATATAACTTAGAGCACCAAAAAGATATATAAATTGCTGATAGATATCTTATTATTACATTTTTGGATTTATGAGAAAGTTTCTTGGCAAATTCCTTTAGAGATACGCAGTCCTTACATTCTCAGACAACCTAATGAATTCAAACATTTTAAGGGTCTTTTTGCCATTGCCATCAAGGCTTTAGGTTCCTTCTACTTCATGTGCACAATGTTCATATATCTTATTTGCTTCAAAAGTGGGACCAGGACTTTGGAATTATCCATCAATTTTTCACTCTGTGGCTGCTTGTACAAAATTAAAACGCCTTTTCTTTCTTTTTCTTCCTTACTACTTTCTTTTCTACCTTTCAACAAAACGATGAAAGCTATGGGGAAGAACATAGTCCACATTCTACATCGGAAAATAAACGATATGCTTTTTTGATAAAGGAAAATCCAAAGACAAAAAAATAAAATTTAAGAGGGAGTATATTCTGAAATTCAACTATTAAATTTGTTTGTTGAAAGTGTTTTATTTTTGTAAAAAGTTGAAATGCTTTTGGAATACGGGGATACAGTCAAAAACGAAAAGTATTGTACGTATACGTACATCATAAGACATTTGTACCGAGAACTCAAAGGAACAAGAAAATGTTTCTTTTTGAAACAAATCTGTTAGAAAATAAAACCTCAACAATGTCGGCGGCATCGCTTTGAAAGTCGTATATCAACGTATGTTGCTGTAAGACAAGTTTTACATTGACTCAAAACATGACATTCATTTATTTTGGAACTGGAGTTTTGTATGGATTTGAATTAAATAAGTGCGATAGATATTTACTTAATAACCAATTTATGTTAAGATGAAACCTTGATAGAATGTTTCGAAAATGTCGTCCTTCTTGTATACAACACTCCCTGGCTCTTAATACATTCGCTGTAACCCTCCCTAACATTTATATTATACTTGGTGCAGCCGATATTCTTGTAGGTCGAACTCTGGAGTTATATAAACACGCTCTCAACTTTTTCTGCATTTGTTAATTGAATATTGTTTCCCATGATAATCCAAATCGATAACACAACAAAATTGATAGTCGGATAAAAATGTACAAACTGTCAGAATTCTCAATCATGCCGACTTGATGATGAATAGAAGCAATATTATTTGTTACATATACTTTTTAAGTCATCTCAGTCGTAGTACTTCGACGCATTGTGATGGAAAAAAAGAACTCCCGTTTCAATCGAAACGTTTCTTTTTTTCGCCGATACTTTCGAAGGTATTGTATACGGACGAATATTTCAACGCCTTGCAACGAGCACTGTCAATACGTCTCCGCCAGACAATGGCGGCCGCGTTAATCATATCAAAACCCGTAAAAAGCGTTTCAATGGAGCCGTATCGGGTGCTGAAAAGGGAAGAATATAAACGATCCCATTCTATATTAAGTCAATTAATTAAAAGTCATCTGCGGCGAATACACATTTTTTTTTTCACGGGCTCGTTTGATTGGTATTGACAGTCCATCATTAAAATTCCGCGTTAATTTCGATTTACGGTTCTCCCATTAAAGCCCATTTGTTCTATTAATGGATGGGATTGATTTTTATCTAGCGAATCGGAGTGAGAGCCTACATACGATCAATTATCAACAACATATAGATTAATTTTATTTATGGGCACTGCAGCCCGCATTGAAAAGAATATTCCTTTACTAACCCGTGAGTATCTTTTTGAATGTTTTTTCGTCGTTACCACCCCCTATTTATTACAGCCACCAGCTGAGGTAAAAGTTGACGTGTACCAAATCAAATTTATCTGCATTTTTCCATTACGGTCAGTGATTGGCGTTTTGAGATGATTCAATAAATCAGATAATGTATAAACTAGGTTCTGGGAGGAGGAGCCTGAAACAAAGAAACATATCTGTTTTAATTTTCGATCCAATATCGTATTATGCGAAATCTGTGTTT